AAACATTTCCAACATGGACAAACGAAATAATGAAACAATGCATGATCGTATCGGCTTTCTCTGTCTGCTCACTATTCACAATCAGAAGACGGAGCTTAATAGAGAAAATGCGATAACCGCCGGGGACAGCTTAGAACTAACCCCCATACTAGGGACCATATTTGAATAAAACATTTCTAAAATAAATCAGAGAATTGTTCACTGATGAAAAACACACAGGGGGAGAGGGAGTGTAAGAAGACGGTTTTCCACTATCAAATTCGAGACAAATCCTTTGTAACCTATAGATAGAGTCGGAATTCAATCAGCCTAATACGTATTGCGTGTTGATAATCGGATGAGACCCCATGATCTTTGTTGTCCAATAGCAAACAATCGAATACAAATAATGTGAACAAGAATACTTTGGTACCCAGCTTACCTACCTTAGTTTTTTCGATGCTCAATTTTACAGCCCTCCGTCCGAGCGAAGCTTTGAATTCGTATTTGCATTGAAATTGTGGCGGAAGTTTCGTCATGCCAGTGGGTATAGATAAGTGGTATGGCATACGTGTCGTCATCAATATTGTGTTATCACATGTGAAGAAAGGTTTGGGAGGATCCACTGTGAACAGGTTCCGTAGACAAATACAAATATGGGAATTATACATTGATGGGAGGTGGATGGAGAGAGTGCGAAAGAAAGAGAGAAACTCACACAGTGGAAATACCATTTTCACAAGTAACATACGCAAGCTCAATGAAAGTGATAGTTACTGATTGAAATGACAATCCTTCGCACTTGACCTACACGCACATTCATCAGCTCTTCTATTCAACCCTACACTCGGAAGCTCTAGATTGGAGTTTCACTCTTATTGGAGCTCGTCAGTAGTTCATATTCACTGTCCTATCCGGGATTTGAACTCCAGACCCATCGCATGGAAGGCGGGGGTATTACCACTGTGTCAACCAGGTCATAACAGGGCTGAACCGAATTGCCAATGCATGGTTGTTCAGATGTGGTCTTGCGAGATAGTCAGCTCAATTTGGCCCGACAGCAACCAACGGAGACACTGTTGCCTATCTGTTAACTCCCATCGAAAGCCTCTCACCAAACCAGGTCTTCCATGCAGGTTACGGGATGACTGGCCACAAACCTACTAGGCTGCACTGAACTGAGGATTGTGGGTGAAGGTGAAGTCCGAACGATGGTCAGTTCTAATCAATTATCGCACAACACTACTTACAAGTAACTGAGTCAAATGCATAGCAATATTTTTTAATTTGTTCAAGTCAAGTTAATCAACGAATGCACCCCGAAGGATCGGAAGTGACGGACGTAGCGTGTCATGCTACACCAAAAGTAGTACCTTAATATCGCATAATTTATACTTACCAAGAAATTTAAAAAAATAAAAAATAAATGATTATTTTCTGTTCCATATGAACTTGCCTTAGTTGGTCAGGTAAAACACGATGCACACATATGGCTTATCGAAACTGGTACCACCGAAGCCAGGAGTTTTGTCAACTACAAGATCATTGTTGAACCTTCATCCTTAGAAGTCGATGGGAACGGCTGATCTGGGCCGGAGACCTTATACTTTCTGAGAGAACATATTTCCCAAGCTGGAGAACTGACAACAATTGGGAGCGATGAAAAAATTAATGTCGATAGAGACCGGTTTAATTGGGCCTCGAAAAAGTCAGCGTATCCAGCAAGATGACGTTCGTTGAATGCGTGTGTGTGTGTGTGTGTGTGTGTGTGCAGAATGTTCGATGGACAACAACTTATAGGAGCCATGATAAATGAATAGGGGAAAACAGAGGAAAAAATATGGGAAGTGGACACGATATGCAGAAATGAATAAAACAAGTGTAAAAATGTGAGCAAATGTCAGTAAATCAGAAAGTGGGGGAGGAGGGGGGGGCGAGCATGGGGAAACNTTTCCACATTCAACAATGAGATCATCACTCTTTGGCCATATTTCTACGTAATATTGTTTTCTATATATCGAAAGGAAATTTCTTTGACTCTGCACTTAGTTCCTTATAATAATAATAACAATTATTATTATTATTATTATTATTATTATTATTATTATTATTATTATTATTATTATTTCCTAGCCGAGTTTTATTTGGGTTCAGTATCAGAGAAATGAAAACCGAAGGATTCGCCCATTCTTTTGTGCATCGTTATTGATCTAGTTACACAAATCAAAATGGCTCCGGTTCCAGGTAGCAACCCGGTTTGGTTCATCATGTCTGCTGGACAGAAACAGATGGGGAATCAGATATTGGAAGCACAGTCTCCCAACCGCCCCCCCCCCCCCCNGTGACGAATCTGACCAGAGAAACCAATAAACACAGGGTTCCACAATGAATACTGAATCACTTCGCCACATCTGTACATATGTATACTGCAATTTATGCGATCATTCAAACATGAGTATAAGAAAAGAAACGATCTGTTGCAACTATCACATTAATGAAAAGAGAAATCGGTACCGTACCTGTATGTAGTATAACAAAATAAAACATGAAAATCGGAAAAGGATGAGTAATAACTAGTCCCGCCTCCGAAATCCTCAGTACGGTCGGAGGAGGGTGTCTAGGGCTGCGGCTGATCACCCTTCCCTTGCACCTCGTGAAATGCTCCCATACGACCAAGTCTCTCATGTATCCTCTGCTGAGGAAGTCTTACTCACTACCTTCTCGAAGCGGAGGTGTTTTACCACCACAGTGAGAGGACGAAAAGCCGATATCTGGGGTTAGAACCGGGTTGGTGGACTACTGGTAGTTCACCGAGGGAAGTTAGCCAAAAACCTTGATTCGAAACTAACCAAAAGGAGGCGTTTGAACCATATCCACATCTTCCCGGTTGTGGCAGTGGTCACCGGCTTAATTGGGCATCTAGATCGTTTGACCCCATCCGATGAACTGGCCACCGGCTACCAATGGACTGAGGTTTTCACACACTGCCCCGCTGCCTTGCGGATCACGCTTTCACCAGCCGAAGGCTCCAATTGTGGATCCCCCGAGAAAATTCACCTGCCTTGGCCTTGGCAACATGGCAGTATTCGGCCCATATGCAAATCGTGGGACATTTTTCTTTCTCATTAAGAGTACTGCTCCGCGATTTGTATGGCACACAGTCTGACTTCAGACGTGTGTGAACTATAATATATGCATAATAACTGGTCTCTTCGAAATTGTAAACTCTCAGAATCGTTCGCCTTCGAATCGGGATTCAGTGAATGACTTACCGAAAATTCACATCATCGATGGATTTGTATCTGTTGACCAACTGGGCTTGCAGTTCATTAGATTTATCAAAAAATCTCAGCCCAAAGAAATCAAACGGAAATGAGTTATATTAGATGATAAGAAATAAGTCCCACGATTCAATCATGTTGATATATACGTATCATGAAAATTGCCGGGACTTGAATTTTGGTAATCCCTGACAACATCAGGTATACATGAGATGCTACCAATTCGACACATACCTTCTTTCACAATAAACGACATTCGATCCGTTTTCAGGGGTGCTTTGTCAAAAAGTACCAAATAGACTTCAGACACGTTGAACAACAGTACTGTGTCCGGTTTGCTTAGGTTGCAGTATTTCGGGCCAGGTTTCTCCAGCGGATTTTGTCCGGGGCCCACTTGCACAAAACTGTCCGTGCAATTCGGTTCGGTCCCGAGCTGGAAGTGGCAAGATGTTTGTTGAGCACAAAGAAATTTATGTGTATGTGCGTTTGCACGCTCGTCCACCCGGAGGAAAGACTCTCCCTCTGCATATATACACATTTTGAAAAGGAGAAGGCGAGCACTGAGTGATAGTATTATATATATATATATATATATATATATATATATATATATATATATATATAATACT